GTTTGTCGTCTCACTACGGAATGCATTGTAGCAACTTTACGAGCCGTTTCCACGCTTGTTGCGAACTACCCCGGGAGAAGTTCGCGGACCCCCGAACAATACCGGGCACAATGACGCAAAATCACCCGGTATAATGGGCACAATATCGGCGCTTCCTCCGTCCTCCGTGTGGCCTCGTAGTCGCCGCGCCGAGCCGCGCCGACGAGTCGTATTATTTCCCGCAACCTTTTAGGTACGGCTGAATTCTGCGCGAGACTGTTTCTCTGGACGGCAGAGTCTGATATGTGCTGTACAGAGTGTCTGTATATTCTGACTGTATATTGTTAAGATGCAGTTATATCGTTAACAGTTATATTGTTAAGATAAGTCTGTATATTGTAAATCGATGCGAAGACAAAAGAGGTGTGAAACAATGCATGTGAAGACGATTATTTGATTCAAGCGATGACCGAGTGAGCTACTAGAGTAAACCACTATAGTGGTCGTCGTCGTTCAGAGAGACGGCATCCGCGGAAGCCACTATAGTGGCGCGTCGTGCCTAAAAGGTTAATCGTCTCTCTCGGCGGCGAGAGAATGTTGCAAAAATTTCGAAGATGATTCGCGAACCATCCACCTGGGAGATCTTCGGAATAGAGAGGAAAGCTACGCCGAGAAATCGGGGACGAGGGATCGCGATTTTGATACTTCTCTCTCACTCTCTCCCTCTTTCTCTCTCTCGGCGGCGGGAGAACGTTGCAAAAATTTCGAAGATGACTCGCGAACCATCCATCTGGGAGATCTTTGGAATAGAGAGCGACGTCGAGAAATCGGGGATAAGAGATCGCGATTTTGATACTTTTCTCTCACTCTCTCACTCTCTCTCTCTCTCTCTCCCACTCTCTCTCTCTCTCTCTCTCTCGGCGGCGGGAGAACGTTGCAAAAATTTCGAAGAGGACTCGCGAACCATCCACCTGGGAGATCTTTGGAATAGAGAGAAAAGCGACGTCGAGAAATCGGGGACGAGGGATCGCGATTTTGATACTTTTCTCTCACTCTCTCTCTCTCTCTCTCTCTCTCCCACTCTCTCTCTCTCTCTCTCTCGGCGGCAGGAGAACGTTGCAAAAATTTCGAAGAGGACCGCGAACCATCCACCTGGGAGATCTTTGGAATAGAGAGAAAAGCGACGTCGAGAAATCGGGGATAAGAGATCGCGATTTTGATACTTTTCTTTCACTCTCTCACTCTCTCTCTCTCTCTCTCCCACTCTCTCTCTCTCTCTCGGCTGCAGGAGAACGTTGCAAAAATTTCGAAGATGACTCGCGATCCATCCACCTGGGAGATCTTCGGAATAGAGAGAAAAGCGACGTCGAGAAATCGGGGACGCGAGGGATCGCGCGATTTTGATACTTCGGTGTTGGAACCGATTACGGGCGGCCAACACCGGGCAGAGTCGGGGGAATAAATATAACGACAAAAAGATGCCACAATGGGGAAACCCCCGTGGAAAAAGGAGCGGCAAGAAGTCGGTTGGATGATAAATGCGCCGTCTCAGCCGTCGCGTCGGCGAGGCTCTGTTTCTCGTTTGTAAACGAGCATCCCTTTTTTTTCCCTCGACATAGAGAACGCCACTCTCTCGGTTGCGCACCATCGACGACGAGCTTCGACGGCCATAGTTTATTTATCCGTCCATTTATCTTCCGATAAGGATACGAGAAATTAGCGGGCAGCCGGCGCAAAAACCGGCTATTATCGTCGATTAAATTTCGCCGACGGATTCCTCGTGGTTTTTCCACCCCCCGCGCCTCGAGCCGGCACCGATGAAAAACAAAAGACCGGCGATCGATTATCGATTAAACAAGATGCCTTGCCAAGGATGTTGCGATTCATTGTTCTGTCGCCGGACGAAAATCTTGAGCGCGCGAGTTCTCCGCGGAACAATCGAGCCGAAAAGAATCGTCGACGAGTAGAGACCGCCAGCTTTTACGCGTTGATGCCGCGTGCGGATTTCTAACAGTTCTCGGACATTTTTTTCCTGCTTCGGACTTTCGCAGGGTCACCTGTCGAATTCGACGAAAATCCTGGTAATAACATTGTCAAATTCTTACGGATCCCATTGTCATCTCGGCATCGATGGGAACGAAGATGCTCAGCGTCGTTAACCTTTTCGCCGCTATGGAGACATCCGTCATTTGATCCGTAAATTCGAAGGCTCTGCTGCGGAGCCCAACGTTTTTAGCACGATTACACCGAAGATGCTATGGTTTTGTCGACGTTGGCAATTGTTATTTGTAGCGAAAACGAGCTTAGCGCGTGTACCATTACGATTAAAACATTTCTTGCCCATTTTTATACTTAGCAACATAAAATGAATAATAAAATAAGACTTCCTTTATCTCGGGCGCTTTGCTCCAAAAATATGCCGGAGTTGCTGGTAGCGATATTTTTCAGAAAAACGCTGTTCAACTTTATTTTAGAACGTCCGAAGAATATTTACTAATTTTTAATTTAATTTAATTATCAATCGAGCCGATTCCAGCGAACATTAACGATAAAAAATTCCGGCAAACTCGCGCAAAAGATATTTTTGTTTCAATGATTCCGTGTCCGAACAGAATTCAACAGACGATTCGCGATGCTAATTTTATAATAAATCGCGTCGAAGAACACGAGGGATGTATTTATTTAAGAATTGCGAAGAATATCGTTAATAGTAAATTTACCCGTTTCGATGAGGATGAGCATTTGCTGCTTGGAAATTTCGGTCACGATTCAAGATGTCGATGCACCGACCTCGCGCAATGTTCGGTAGATACCATTACGATTAAAACATTTCTTGCCCATTTTTATACTTATCAACATAAAATGAATAAAATCGAACGCTTTCGCAAGGGCGTGTAATCTTTTCCGCTCGAAATAAGACTTCCTTTATCTCGGGCGCTTTGCTCCAAAAATGTGCCGGAGTTGCTGGTAGGCGGTACTCGAGAGACGCGTGGAGCGCTAAGGGTTAAATTCGAATTTGCACGAAGATACGCAGTCTGCCAACGACGATTCGCGAACGGTCGAAAGTCGGTAGACGGTTGTCGAGTGTCATTTAAAGGCTCGACGAGATTCTTCCGCGCGTTATGAACAGACGCTAATAAATCAGTGGGGAAAGGGCAACGCGCGGTGACAAAGAAACAAACGAAAAAGTTTGGGGAGGCGAGTGTCGCCGGGGTAGAAAGGGGCGAAAGAAGCGAATTATCGAGCCTCGAATGCCGGTCCTTAACGAGCGATAATAACTCCGGCAAACAGCGTACATTTCTAGAGCGCTAGTTGCGCGTCCATTGTGAGAGCATAACTCGCGACAATCGCGCGTGCTGCTCGTGTCTGTCCGTGCGAGGGTCTCTGTTTATCTACGAGCGAATAATACGGTGCGAGTGTTGGCTGCAGAGGGGTACACCTTGAAGCCAGCCTAAGTGTAACCCCGCCGCGCGTATTAACTGCGCGACGAAGGGGTGCGCTCAAGTGGGCTTTCTGCGAGAGAACGTGTTTTGATATTGTAACGTTTGTATTAAATATCACTGGGAAGGGTGGCGAGAGACGGAGTGAGACAGAGAGAGAGAGAGAGAGAGAGAGAGAGAGAAAGAGAGAGGGGGAGAGAGTCCTAAGCCTCTCGTTTATTAAGACATCATTAGCTGACTTCGACCCCCTCTGTTTCTCGTGTTTGCACCCCTGCTGTTGGAATTTGCGCTTCTTCTTTCGGCGGGCTAACGTTCTCTTCGCTCGGCGCGACACGTAAACCCGGCGAAATCAAAATGTTTCCTTCGCGATTTTCTCGATTTATCCGAACGAGGTTGCGAACACCGGCGCGTCGCGGGAAGCTTTCCCAGAGGGAAACGAGAGAAGCGTTCGCAGCTACCTAGGAGCATGCACGAGAAATTGTTGGTGATTCGCGCGCTAGGCCTTTTCCCGAAAGTCAATCGACCGTAAGCCACCCTTCGTCGATCGCGCGCGATCGTAAATCTTCCATAGAAATGTTCGCCGCGTAGCATCCGACGCATCGAATTAGCCCCGTCTGGAAATTTTTGTCAGCCGTTGTCTCCGCGGTACCCTTCGGAACATACGATCGTCGCCCCGTTCTTTCCTCCTCTGGGGCACGATCGAAAGGAACCGTCTCGCAAAATCATCGAAACACACGCGGAGAAACATTGGTTACTCGAGGATCGTTCGCAGGCGATCGGTGACTCGTTTCGGAACCGACGATTTCTTCCAAGAAAACCTTGAATCCTCTCGATCTCTCGAGGGTCTTCTCTTCCATCCCGGGTCGGAGACCGCTATTATGCGGTTATCCCACCCCACCCAACCCCCCGAAAAATTAGGGCGTGGCAGCTCTCGGCGACGCTACAAGTCGTCTCGCTCGCAGCGGGTGCAGCGAGTGTAGCGGCGATATATAAAAGATCTGCGAGAAATCCGTGAGTCCCCGGGTCCTGACTTTCGAACGCGGCGGATACACCGCAGCCTGTCGCGTGTGCGTCCGCCTTGTCACCGACACAATGAGTGGAAGATTATCTACGATGGGATTCGCTAACGTTATATTGCCGGGGACCGGCTCCCTGCCCGACGAGCCAGCTCTCTGCTCGTTCGCCCCCTCGGAAAATGGAAGAATCCGCGCGAAGAAAGGAGACGCTCTTCTCCTTTCTTTTTTCTTCTTCTTCTTCTTCTTCTTCTTCCTCTACCGCCTCTCTCCGCTGCCGACGTGTCTAAAGAGGGAGAAAAAAATGCGTGATCTATAGCGATAGACGTATTATTCTTGGAGACGCGGGAATGTCTTCGGGGGCGGGCGGGGGAGAACCGACGCGTTTGAATCATTCACGGCCCTTGCACGAACGATCCGTGGAAAATCAATTCGAGTCGACGCGACGAGCAGCAGACCTTGTTTCGTCGACGCGCGGCCGCTTCGAGGTTCGGAACCGTTGGAAAAAAAATTATCGGCCGCCCCGCCGTCGGGATTGCTAATTGATTTTCGAACGTTTTCATTTTAGGTCACAGTGGGGTGAACCAGCTGGGGGGTGTCTTCGTCGGCGGTCGACCGCTTCCGGACTCGACCAGGCAAAAGATCGTCGAACTCGCGCATTCCGGCGCACGACCTTGCGACATCTCTAGGATCCTGCAGGTCAGCAATGGCTGCGTCTCGAAGATTCTTGGAAGGTTGGTTGAAATATTGCTTGTTTTGAAACCACCTAAGCTTCTGGAACTTCTGAGCTTTCGCCGACGTCGCACGGCGGTACGTTCTCCCCAAAATGTCGGCAATTTTCGATGCACGCAGCGGCAGAAAGTTATCGTGCCACGTATGTTATTGCTACTGCTACTGTTGTTATTATCACTTATTGATATATTTACGGGCTACTAGACTCTTTTAAATTATACAAATGAAATATGCACGGTTCGAAACAAAATAAACGCTACAGAGAACAAGGTTTTGCGACAGATAGTCAGTGTAGAGTAATGGTCTCTCTAATTGAGATACGATTATTCGAGCCTCGCGGATTATTTTTATAGTTATAAATTGTCCAGAATTATATATAGAAACGAGCCGCAAGGCTCGAATAATTGTGTCACCTCTTCCCAAATTATTCATTTCAGTGGACAATCTGAGCGTTAGTATGGGAGACATTTCTATACAGTAATGTCTCTCTAATTGATGCCCAGATTGACCACAAGAATGGACAATTTGGGAAGAGGAGATACGATTATTCGAGCCTTGCGGTTTATTTTTATAGTTATAAATTGTCCAGAATTATAAAAACGAGCCGCAAGGCTCGAATAATCGTATCTCCTCTTCCCAAATTATCTATTTTAGTGGACAATCTGAGCGTCAGTATGGGAGACATTTCTACACAGTAATGTCTCTCTAATTGACGCCCAGATTGACCACAAGAATGGACAATTTGGGAAGAGGAGATACGATTATTCGAGCCTTGCGGTTTATTTTTATAGTTATAAATTGTCCAGAATTATAAAAACGAGTCGCAAGGCTCGAATAATCATATCCCCTCTTCCCAAATTATCCATTTTAGTGGACAATCTGAGCGTCAGTATGGGAGACATTTCTACACAGTAATGTCTCTCTAATTGACGCCCAGATTGACCACAAGAATGGACAATTTGAGCGTCAGTATGGGAGACATTACTGTACTCGTCATGGAGAGGTGGAAGTATTTTGTGGATTTAATGTGGATTTATAGGATTAATGTAGATCGATAGAATTTATGTCAAGTGAAGTAAAATTTGCACTCTCAATTACAAGAAAATGTCACCGATCTGTACGACTGCCTCGTGTAATCTGTTATGCTTCGCAAACGTTTTACGCTGTCCTAAAAATTACAATAATGTCTCTCTAATTGACGCTCGGATCCACAAAAATAGGCAATTTGGGAAAAAGAGATACGATTAATTTGAGTCTTGCGCCTCGTTTTTATAATTACCGATTCTCAACAGCTATAAAAACGAGGTGCAAGGCTCGAATAATTGTATCTCCTCTTCCAAAATTATCCATTTTAGTGGATAATCTGAGCGTCAGTAAGGGAGACATTACTGTAATTAGTAAAATGACTGACTGTGTTTCCATAGAAATGAAGTTTTGGCTGAACTCGTTTGCCATCCTAATCGCTCTTGCGATACAGCTTTGAGAACCCTAACAAGGAGGTTCTACTACGGCCAATCCAGAAAACTTGCGAGTTCCTTGAAACCCTAAGGGAAATGTTGAGATTTAACGGCTCGAGAATCGGTGGTCGGTCAATTATACGGTTGAATACTCCAAAACTAAATACGAGGTCCTCGATGGTTCCCTTTTGTTTGAGCGTGGGCATGTTCGAGATGCCGAGGATGGAATCCTAGTTTTCAAAAAAATACAGTATGGGCCTCCTAATTTTATACAAAACAAATCTTAGATACGTTGAATCGTCTCGAACTTGACGATATAACATTCTAGACATTTGTATGTTATACAGGATATCCCAAAAATATCTCGCAATCCGAAAGTGACGGGTTCCTCAGGTTATTTGAAGCAACTTTTTCCTTTACAAAAATTTTCTCCGAGGCACCGTTAACGAGTTATTAACGAAAANACGATTAATTTGAGTCTTGCGCCTCGTTTTTATAATTACCGATTCTCAACAGCTATAAAAACGAGGTGCAAGGCTCGAATAATTGTATCTCCTCTTCCAAAATTATCCATTTTAGTGGATAATCTGAGCGTCAGTAAGGGAGACATTACTGTAATTAGTAAAATGACTGACTGTGTTTCCATAGAAATGAAGTTTTGGCTGAACTCGTTTGCCATCCTAATCGCTCTTGCGATACAGCTTTGAGAACCCTAACAAGGAGGTTCTACTACGGCCAATCCAGAAAACTTGCGAGTTCCTTGAAACCCTAAGGGAAATGTTGAGATTTAACGGCTCGAGAATCGGTGGTCGGTCAATTATACGGTTGAATACTCCAAAACTAAATACGAGGTCCTCGATGGTTCCCTTTTGTTTGAGCGTGGGCATGTTCGAGATGCCGAGGATGGAATCCTAGTTTTCAAAAAAATACAGTATGGGCCTCCTAATTTTATACAAAACAAATCTTAGATACGTTGAATCGTCTCGAACTTGACGATATAACATTCTAGACATTTGTATGTTATACAGGATATCCCAAAAATATCTCGCAATCCGAAAGTGACGGGTTCCTCAGGTTATTTGAAGCAACTTTTTCCTTTACAAAAATTTTCTCCGAGGCACCGTTAACGAGTTATTAACGAAAAGCAGTGACCAATGAGAGGCGACCGAGCCAATGAGCGGAACTGAGCTTCGCGCGCTGGTTGGCTGGGCCGCCTCGCGTCAGCCGTACTCGATTCTTATTGGTCACTGTTTTTCGTTAATAACTCGTTAACGGTGTCTCGGAGAAAATTTTTGTAAAGGAAAAAGATGCTTCAAATGATCCGAGAAACCCTCCATTTCCGGATTGCGAGACATTTTTGGGACATCCTGTATACATACATTTCGGAGCAGTAAATTGAGATGTAAATTTTAAATATCGTGCATGGATTCGAGATGCGGACAGTTCGTCAAAGTTGACGAATTCTCATACTTCGTACAAATGTCTTGACGAAGTTTATCCGTACAGAAATCATTTATAGAACATTTTACTACTAAAATATATGTTATAAAGATGCAGTCTGCACATTTACTTCCCGAATCCAATGGCACTCTCTGCGGTCGTTTCGATCGTTTAAATCGCTCAATTATAAACTGTAGTCTCTTTTACGACGCACTGGAATTCTATAATAGTTCTTGTAACGTTCTTGTAATCGTTCTCGTACGATGGTACAACGGTAGAAGAAATGTCGCGATAGTCGTAGAAAGACCAACTCTAACACGATTCGTGTATTCGAGCGAGATGTCAACAATAATATCCATTGAAAAGATTGTATCAGTTTCTGCACATTTTTAAGATGTTCAAGATATTTAAGATATTCCACGCTCTCTCCGTGAATGGTATTAAAAACGTTCAGATTGCGACAGCTGTGACGGAATGGGGCAAACGCGGGATCAAACGCACGTGCAAACACAGTTGTACATACCTCAGGAATTCTATATAAACACGTACAGTGGCCCACAAAAGTGTTCGTACACCTTTTAAAACGCAATAATTTTTTTAAAAATTATAGATCGAGGGACTCGAATATTTTTCAAATGATAGCGACACTAGTCTACCAGACGATGAAATTTTGCTATTACTTGGAATGCAACAAAAATAAAAAAGCGAGAGTTTTTTTAACTTTTTCATCTAAGCTTACAAACGAAAATTTAAAAAATTCCTCTCGTAGATCTCGATGTAACTTACACGCGTGCTGAAAACTTTATCGAAATCGGTTGACGTTGTCACGAGTTACAACGAATTAATGACGGCAAAAATCGCAGTTTTATCACGATTCTGACCAAAAACTGGAAGAAATCTGCAGTTTCTTCAATCTTTCAACGCTTGTAGCTCGACTCTGAGTTAACCGATTTCGATGAAATTTTCAGCATCCATGTAAGTTACGCCGAGATCTACGAGAGGCATTTTTAAAATTTTTGTTATAGGCTCAAATAAAAAAAGTTTTAAAAAACGAAAGTCTTTTTTTGCCATTCCAAGTGATAGCAAAATTTAAAAAAAGCGTTTTGGTCATCGTCTGGTAGACTAGTCCCGCTATCACCTAAAAATATTCAAGTCCCTTAGTCCATTTTTAAAAAAAGTTATTGCGTTTTAAAAGATGTACGAACACTTTTGTGAGCCACTGTACATCACCTTGAATCTTCGCACACAGTACGATATTATGACAGCGATTAACGTCGTTAAAGTACAAACTTACTATGCGATTTATATAACGTTCGAAGTACACTTTCTGTCTCTCGTACCTTTAAATAAACGTTAACGATGTTAAACTAATTATACAATTGTAGCAAAGTGTCTGTTAATCGTCGACATTCAAAACGAATAAATTATAAACAGTGCTTACGCTAGTAGCGTCTGATTTTCCATTTAGAATTTTGCGATAAATTCGAATTCGACAACCTTGAAAACACGAGAGTGCCGATTTTCATGAAAATCGTACGATGTTACGAGTTGTGGCAAATTGTTTTTTGGAAAACCTGGCTACCGCTGTGCGTCGTCGATCGCTTATGAAAAAATGAAACGAATTCGCTTCGAACGCTGTCGCGGAACACCGAGCATCGGGCACCAAATGAGCCGTTTATTTTGAAAGTGGCATAAGTCACTTTGTCTTTAAGTCGATATATTTAAGGGTTTGCGTTTGAACACGTTTCAAAATATGGATGCTAACTTTCGAGAAGATTTACTTGTATTTGTTATCTCAGGATACTGATATTGTTCTCAGTATAAATAATTTCGTATAAACATTAACAAATCACCACTTTTCATTACGGTAAAGTGACTTGAGCCACTTTCAAAATAAATAGTTTAGAAAAATGACTGACAAATATTAATTTTGTCCGACGTATTTTACCGAAGTGATATTTTGAAAGGACAGTGATTTACTAAAATCGTTGAATAAATTACATATATAATAATAATTTATACCATGAGCATATTTAATATAAAGGTTTGATTTAAGTACTTTTTATTTCAATATTCATAAAATACAAAAATAATTAGTACATTTTGAAACATAAGTATAAGTAATTTATATGAAAATACATCGGTTCAATTTCATTTTCGTCATCGATAGGAGTGATTAAGTCCTCGGAAATCGTGTTTTGTTTTAAATTTTTCAAATAACTGTGGTATATTGGGGGTGTATAATTAAGCAAGTCCATCGTGTCTTTGTATTTTGCTGAAGAAACAGGACGAGATCCAGCGTATAACGGATCGATTTCTATTTGCGAATAACGCCTAAGTCTTCCTTTTTTTGGTGACAAATCCAAAGTTAGAAATTCATCTTTTTCATCTAAAGTTAGTTTATAAAACATTTTATAGCCATCTGCTGGCGGGTCTGGAGGCAGCCGCCACATCGCTATAATATAATTTACGAAACTGCACTATTCTTTCGCACTTATAAAAACAAGTCCAGTGATCGCAACTTTTTTAAAAATACTGAAAATAATTCAAAACAATACTTCGCACACCCTTATCACACGTTTCTATTCCTTTTACACTAAGCCCCGCAATTAATTCCCGAGTACAGCGACTTACTCCACTTTCAAAATAAACACGTTTGTTATACCGTTAATTAGTAAAACTTCTCTCGAACAAATCTCAATAGTTCTCAACTTATTGATCGCAAATTTTAAAAAAATGAAAAGATACCGTTCAATTGTAATTAGCGTTACCATTAACTCGATTTGTTTTGAAAAGTGACTTATGCCACTTCCAAAATAAACGGCTCAAGTATCGGGTCAGTAAGGATTCCATCTACCGTATTGTACTGCAAAATATTATTGTTGCAGGTACTACGAGACCGGATCCATCAGGCCCAGAGCGATCGGTGGTAGCAAACCGCGCGTGGCAACGGCGGAAGTCGTAAGCAAGATTTCCCTCTACAAGAGCGAGTGTCCATCCATCTTCGCGTGGGAGATTAGAGATCGTTTGCTTCAGGAGGGTGTCTGCACCAACGACAACATTCCCAGCGTAAGTACCCCGGTTGTCTCAGCTAAAATTTCATCCACGAAAATGATCCGCGAACGCGTCACCGCGCCCCGCGTCCCGCGTTCACCGTCGTGACGAGCGGTAAATGGCTCGAGTAAATGGACACGCCATCGAGCAAAACGGTAAAAAGGGCAGCGTCCGAGTTGTTTAATGGCTGGTCCCGTCGTAACAAGGACGGCAGTTTATAAAGCGTGTCGCAAGACACACGAGTAACGAACCCCGAGTTTCGGAGGGTGGAGGACGGGGGGACGCGCAGGCGTGTTATCAGGGGCTTTCTCCTCCGCTGACAAAACAGAAACACGTTTACACGGACCACGGAGGGTCCTGGGGGATGGAAATCGGTTTTCCGCGAGCCGGTTGCGACGCGTCTACGTATCGCTGTTACCGCTTTGCCGCGAAGGCGACGGAGACTTAGGGTTCTGTCGCGACGAGCTGGATCTATTTTCGCGACGCTACGAACAACCGGAAAGTTTCTTCGAATTCGCGGATCGCGGATCGAGCCGAAGCTCGCTCTTCCGTATCGGGAGTCGCGTCGAAGCACAAAAAATATGAGCTGGAGTTGGCGAATATCGCGGCAGCATTCGGGGAAAGGTTCGAGCATCTTTCGGGAGCTTGAGGTTTTAAGCAGGAAACTTTCGGAGGCCGAAAGTGCGGAGCGTATCGCGAACAAAAGAATCAATTAAGAAATTGCCAAGGGTGGACGGAATAACGCACGGATCAAAAGGAAATTTCCTGACATCTCCCTTTTCCTTCGATCTCCCGGAGACCTACACTCCACCCACTAATACGTTCAGAGTTCACGGCGACGGGGCTGGTTCTCATGGTGGTCCCTCGTTGCCATGGATATTTGCATGCGTCCAATAAACGGTGGCTAAGGGGCTCTCGACTTGCTCAGGGTAAAAAGCGAAAGAGGGTCGCTAAATTCTCTTTTCCTCTTTCCCTCTCTCACTGTCCTTCTCCGTCTCTCCTTTCCCGCCTCTCTCTCTCTCTCTCTCGCTCTCTCTCACTCTCTTTCTCTGTTTCTCTCTTCCTTTCGCCGTGCCGCCCTCCTTCGACCCTTCGCCTCTTTCTTTCCCTCTTTCTTTCCCTCGCGCCTTCGTAATGGGTTCGAGGTGTACGTACACCACCCTCCTGCAGATGCTTCGACAGAAATTCCGAAAGAAAGGGATGACGACGGGCCCGGAGCATTTTTATCGTCGCGAGGGAAACCGTCGGAAGTTAACTGTCTCCGACGCGAATAACAGGGCCATCCGAAAGATTGCTTCGGAGACTCTCCCGAGCGATCGAACGGAATTAAAAATGTCACACGCTCTTCAAAAATTGCTTCTTCCAAACCAACGCGACGCGGTACGCGACAACAACCAAAGACCGCCGATTAATTAATTAACCTCTTGCTGTACGATCGAACTCTCTTAACTACAGCAATTAGAACCTTTCTTTTGTCCTCGACGATGCTCTGGTACAAACTAACGTATCAGATTCGCATTTATCGCGTGTCTCTATCCGTCTCGATGTTTAACCCTTAATTGATAGAACGATCCTTGCAATCGCGACCGCTGTGTCGCGATAGAAAATTACATATTTTCTAGAAGATCGAGTGGAGCGGACGGTGCTCGAGTCGCTCGAGCTATACACTTACTGACAAAAGTTAAGAAACAACGCAATCGTTTGATACATTTCGGTATATTCTCTATCTTCTATGATACATAGGTTGGAACTAAAAATAGCATAATGAGATAGCATTCCATACATCGATGAGTTTTTTTTTCAACATACTTGTACAAGAGCCATAATTAATCGAACACAAAATTCAGTCGGTATTTCTGACCATATTTTCGCGATTGTTTCCATTAATTCTGCTTTATTGTTAAAAGAGTGACTTCCCAACTGACGTCCAATGTAATCCCATAGATGTTCAATTGGGTTCAAGTCCGGGGTTTGACTTGGCCACTTTATTACATTAATATTTTGTTCTGCAAGAAACGTCTTAACCAACTTGGAAGAATGTTTATGGTCGTTAACGCGTTGAAATAACCACCCTGATGACATTTTTTCATTGGCAAATGGCAGCATATGATTTTGTAAGATGTCACGATACACAATTCTATCCATTGTTTCTTTTATTTGTACTAATGGACCAGAGTCGTTACGCGAGAAACAACCCCACACGGTTACATTGTCGCCACCAAATTTTACCGCCGGTTTTAGGTATTCAACGTGAAATCGTTGTCCAGTAGGGCGTCGCACATTATTTTTAGAGTCGTTTCCAAACAGGTTTAACGTACTCTCGTTGCTCCATAAAATTTTTGACCACTCGATAGCAGTCCAATTAAGGTGTTCTCTATCAAACCCCAATCGAGCTGCTCTATTTTCCTTCGACGCAAGTGGTTTCTTGCATGCTTTGCGTGAAAAAAGATTATTTTCATCTAAACGCCGGTTAATCGTCCCGTTACTAATGTTTTCCAGACACAGTTGATTTTTAATTTCAGAAGCAGTGTAAAATGGATTCGACTTAGAAAGTCTTGCGATTCGACGATCTAGTTTTTCATCTGTTTTTCGCGGTCTGCCAGTTCGCGGTGNTTTTCATCTGTTTTTCGAGGTCTGCCAGTTCGCGGTGCCGTTTTAACAGTTCCGTATTCATCGAATCGTTTTATAATGTTGGCGATAAGTCACTCTTTTAACAATAAAACAGAATTAATAGAAACAATCACGAAAATATGGTCGGAAATACCGACCGAGTTTTGTGTTCGATTAATCGAATCTATGCTACGCAGATGCAATGCAGTCCTTGAATACAAGGGTTATGCAACATCTTATTAGACTGATATGAAAACTACAGACATTGACACGTCGCTGTTTTTCATTAAAAGTGATTATATAACTTAAGCGATGTATGTTTCTTAACTTGTGTCGCGCAGCTTTTGTCTTATTTCTTCGATTCGATTTAATTATGATTCTCGTACAAGTATGTTTGAGAAAAAACTCATTGATCATTGATGTATAAGATGCTATCTCATTATGTTATTAGGTCTACCGGAAAGTTCTGTCTGATAATGTCATTGCAAATTTCAATAGATATGCGCATATTCATTTGAGACATATATTTTTGAAAAATGTTGCTCACAAATTGCCATCACGCTGGCAAGAGGTCATAAGTAACGACGTAAATTATATTGTACAATATAAATATTACTAAATTTATGAAAAATCTATTATTTCCTTTCATTTCTCAAACGGGCAGAACTTTCCGGTAGACCTAATAAATCCCGCGTTTCAACCCTCGCGTGGCTGTGGCTGTGTCAATTTTTACCCAGAAAATTTAAATCGTTCATTTAATTACAAATTATTAGAAGTTGAATAAAATAAATTGCTGTTACAGTGGGACCAACAGAAAAGCTAACAAGTTTGCTTATTAAAATATCTCCAAAGATATGTTTCGAGAAAATTACTGAATAAAGCTCAAGATTGTTATAATAATTGTAATTATATAATAATAATTGTTTCCTTTCATTTCTCGAACGGACAGAATTTTCCGGTAGACCTAATATTTTTAGTTCCAACCTGCGTGTATCATAGAAGATAGAGAATTTACGGAAATGTATCAAACGATTACGTTGTTTCTTAACTTTTGTCGGCAAGTGTGTGCACCAGTTAAGGATTAAACATCGATGAAACAATATAAAAAGGAAGAGATAAAAGACAAACGAATATTATTCGTATCCGCGAGGCTCTACCCGACGGATTAAATTATTCCGATTAATTTCTCGGCCGCCTTCGCATCTTGTAATAATTTCCGAATCCGAAGCGTTCAGACCGGTTCAAAGTGTAATCCGGGACCGGTTTTCGATTTGGAGTAGAACAAAAAAGAAAAAAAGAAAAAAAGAAAGAAAACGAACGGAGACGGGAGCAACGAGATTGAAGCGAATTAATGCGAATGGGCGCAGGGTAGCTTCCGACGCGACGTAAGAACGCGATTTTCCGGCACGGGCCGAGACGATCGCGGAATTTAACGGTTTAACAAATTGCACGGACGCGCCCAGGGTCGGAAGAGCCTCCGGGGCGAAGGAGGATCAAAGCCGGTGCACAAAGTATAATCCCGGCCGCGTTTGAACATCCTGTAAGCGCTTCTGAACTTGTTGTGGGTAAGATTAACGTTTCTTTAATGGCCCGTGTAATATTCCATTATGTACAGTTCGCCCGAGAATTATTGCGTCGACGTCGTCGTGGAAGGGGTTTCGGCCGGCCGGGGATGGGGGGTGGGATCGCGGGGCGGGGCGAGGTAGCAGATCGACCGAACCGAGAAATAAAAGGAAAATCACGGGGAAAGCAATTTTTCTTGCACGGTGTTTGCAACACCAGCGATATTTTTAGTCGCTCGGCCCCCGGGAACAATTTCCCGTGATTTCCCGTGATTTCCCGTGATTTCGTCATTCTTTTCGCCGGCAATTCCGATACTCCCGGCCCGCGACAGAACCCGAAACTCGTTTTCGAAAAACAGCTATCGAGCATTTCGGATGAAAAATCGAATCTCTCTCCTCTGTCCGTGTTATTCGGTAAAAGGGAAATACTGTCCGCGCGAATGAAATCGATTCGAAAAGCGTCGCTGTCGTTCGAACGGTTATAGATTTCCCTCTCTGGCCGGGTATCCTCTCTCGGTGTCCTCGGCGTGTCGCAGGTTCTGGGCTCGCACAGCCCGAGAGGACGACGTCGCGATGGGAGGGAAGGCACGAGAAAGGGAAGGCGAAAGGTAGAAACGGAAAGGAGGAACGAACGTATTCCAGGCGGGTCGCGGTGATTGAGGGAAATTTCATTATTCTCAGACATTACCCCCGTTATTGTAATGCCATCAAATTGGATACGCTTCGTACACCCCGTAAAACGGCTGGAATATCCTTGAATATCCCGAGAGAGAGGCAGCTTGCTTCTTGCTTCGTGCTCGAAGCGAAAGATGCGGGAATAAGCGCGGCGCGGCGCTACGCTGC